AACAGCTCTTGCCTGCTAACAAAGGTGCCTTACTGGAAGAGAAGCCACTGTCTGTGCTCTGACTGAGAGTCTCATGAGGTTTAAGGCTATTTCTACCCAGAAGCTACAAGTAGGAGACTTTTTTCATTCTGTATTATGTTTGGTAATGTTACAGTACTGTTCTTAGAAACGGAGAGGCTGCTTAGTCTTTCCCAGGCATTGACTCTTCAGAAACAAAAGACCAGGAACCTAGTCCTGACTTAGTTTTCATAAAGCACTTTATTGAACAGTGTTTCATTTACCTTGGTCAAGTCACTTAGCGTCTTGGAACATTTAATTCCCCAGGTATGTGCCAGTCCTTACTTAGTGAAACGGTAAACACAATTTGTTAGAACAGCAAACTCAGAACAGAAGGACTGATTAGCATAGCAGAGCAGCTGTTTGTCACACAGGCTTTGCGTTTGCCCTGCGCCCTTTCCTCTCCTTTGTTTGGCCAGTTGTCAAGGTGCTGTATGGAGCTGTCGCAAGCATTTGCCCACAATTGACGCATTTGCTGTCTCCTTTAAAAGTTGTTACATGTTAATGAAGAGTATTAAAAATGGATGGAGGAATTCATTTCTTGAGGCCCTTTTTCTTGATTTCTTTGTGATCGGTCTTTTTTGAGCCAGTGTGTCAGTGTTTCAGTGGTTGTTGTATAGGTGGTAGTGAAAACTGTTTGAACACAGTGGGCTCCCAAATCATAAAGTTTAATTTTCCTTCATTTTGTTGAATAGATTTCACTCTAGTGTGTTCTGGTGTTAAACTTACACATGGCTTCAGTGGTCACCACAGAGACTTTTGTCAAAACACTTCATGGTAGGTTAAAAATTATAGTCTTTCGAAGCTTTAAAATATGAGGTGACATGTTTATTTCACGTATATGCAACTATATGCAATGTACAGCTAAAATTTTCTTGATGTTTGTAGGAGGAGAGGTGACTTCTCTCAAGGCTGGTGATTATGGGAAGTCTTAATTCAGAAGAGAGAATTTGACTGGTTCTTGAAAGGTGAAAATAATCTGATCCTGTAGAGACAGGAGGAAAAATTATGCCATGTGGAGAAAAGAGGGTGAGCAAAGGCAAAGGAGTATAGAGCTCAGAGTATACATAGAGTTAACTTTATTTCCAGTATATATTGGAGAGAACCTTTTCCAGGTGGCCATGCAGCGCCCCCCTCCTTCAGTTGGAGAACCAGGATATAACATTTGAAAGGGAGGAGAGAGAGAGAGAGAGAGAGAGAGAGAGGAGGTTGGAAAAGATAGGTTGGGACTGGATTATGGGTCAAGGAGTTTGTACTTTAAACCTTATTCTGTAGGCAATGGGGAACTGCAAAAGCAACTGAAATTTTTGTTTTAGGAAGATTGTGGTGTCCAAGATGAAATGGGAAAATGAGGCAGGACATTGGATAACCGTTTCTGAAGATAGCTTTCACTTCAGGGAAAAGACTGACGACACACCCTAGGGCCTCTCACTGCCGACAGAGACGGAGGGGCCGGGAGGGTCGCAAGCCTAGCAGAGGCGGGGGAGGCGGGCTCTGGTGCTGATTCCTGTGTCCTGTGGTAAGTGCGCCATTCTTCCGAGCCCGCTTTCTCATTTAGTTTCGTTAGGTCTGTGAATTCTTAGATTCCTTCAGCCTTTGGAATGTTATACTCTGTAATCCTTGACTTTTTGTAAAGCTGTACTCTAGGTTAGTGAAATAATGAAAAGCATTATGAAATTTAAAGGAAATGTTTCCCGCTATGAACTAAGTCCTTTTCTGATCAGTTTAAACTATTTAACTGGGTTAAAGAAAGAAAAAACGTGTATTTGGATTGTTCACTTTTTCCCCTTCCATTGCATATTAACAATAAATTTGTAGCTTTAATGTGCTGAAGAAATTGAAGTCCTCTGAGTAATTAAAGGAGAAAAAGCTCTTAAAAGCCTTAAAAAAGTGTAAAAAGATGTAAACAAATGCCATATAGAATACTTCCCAATTCATTTTGTGAAGTCAGCATTACCCTAATACCAAAACCGGAAAAAGATAATACAACTGCAGACCAATATTGCTTATGAATATAGGTGCAGAAACACTAGAAAGCTGAATTTTAGCAAGATATAAAAAGGATTATATACCATGACCAAATGAGATTCATTCCAGGAATGTGAAGTTGGTTCAGTATATAAAGATCAATTAATGTAGTGCATCATGTTACTAGAGTAAAAGACAAAACCCACATAAAATCAAAACCCATCTCAAATAACAGAGAAAAAGCATTTGATAAAATTCGGCACACTTTCATTATAAAACACTTGACAAACTAGAAGTAGAAGGGAACTTCTTCATCTTGATATATAGGGTGTTTGTGAAAAACCCACAACTAACATCATACTTAGTGGTGAAAGACTAAAAGCTTTCTCCTAAGATCAGGCACAAGACAAGGATTTCTGCTCTTAATATTTCTATTCAGTACCCTACTGGAGGGTCTAGCCAGGGAAGTTAGGCAACAAGAAGAAATAAAAAGCACCCAGATAGGAAAGAAAAAAATGAAACGCTCTCTACTCACAGGTCATATATATAAATCTTAAGGAATCTACCATCAGGCTATAAGAACTAATAAATTCAGCAAGATCACAGGATATATAAGTGCCATATACACTAACAAATTGTATTTCTATATGGTAGCAATGAATAACCTGTAATGAAATTAAAAAACAATTCCACTTTCCATAGTATCAAAAAGAATAAAATACTTAGGAGAATAAATTTAGTCACTAGGGAAACAAATGCAAATCAAAACCACAGTGACACCATTTCACACCCACTGTGATGGATATGATAGAAAAGATGGACAATGATGGACCCCTCACATGCTGTTGGTAGGAATGTAAAATGGTGTAGTGTCTGTGGGAAACTGGCCATATCTCATAACATTAGACATAACCCAGAAATTTCACTCATAGGTGTATACGCAAAAGAATTGAAAATAAACGTAGGTGTAAAAACTTGTATACAAATGTTCATTATTCATAATAGAAAAAAAATGGAAACAGCACAAATATTTGTCAGCTGATGAATCACTAAAGGAACTGGTATATCCATACAATAGAATATTATTTGGCAATAAAAAGGAATGAAGTTCTAGTACATGCTACAATGTGGATAAATCTTGAAAACTGTGTTGCCCTGGTGCGTGTGGCTTAGTTGGTTGGTTGTCATTCACAAAGTGAAAGTCGTGGGTTGGATTCCCTGTCAGGGCACATGCCTCAGTTGCAGGTTCAGCCGCCGTTCAGGGTACCTGTGAAAGGCAACCAATCGATTTTTCTCGCATGGATATTTCTCCCCTTCGCTTTTTCCCTCCCTTCCCTTCTCTCTTAAAAAAAGGAAAAAGAAAAAAAAAAAAAGAAAGAAAAAACATTGTGTTAGTGAAAAAAGACAGGCACAAAATGCCACATTGTATGATTCCCTTTCTGTGAAGTGTTCTGACTTATGCAAATCCATAGAGACAGAAAATGGATTGGTAGTAACCAGTGACTGAGAAGACAGGGCAATGGGGAGTGACAGCTAATGGGTACACATTTCTTTTTTGGGGGGGAGGATGGGTGCACGATGTTATGACTATGTTAAAAACCATTGAATCTTAAAAAGGGAACAAATTAAAAGGAAGAGGGACCTTTGCTGTTTTTCACTGTCTTCCTTTTTAAAATCAGAGTTTGAAAAGTTTCTCCCTCTTCAGATTCCAGCAAGCCACATCTTCTTGGCTCTGTCTCATGAAAGTATTATAAATACTGCCATCACAGAGGACTGTTTCTTGGATTCCATCAACACTTAATTCAAATTTAATTTTTAAAATCTATTTCAAATGAGTTTTAAAATGGAATATGAAACAGTATATACTCTCAGATGTGTTACTATTCACCCCATTTTGCATGGTGCTGGACAACGTATGTTATCTCATGTTTCCAAGTTACCTCATTCTGTACAGGTCTTGGAATCAAGTCTTTCATGTTGTTTCAATTGTAGTATCAGATATTTGTAAAATATTTCACTCAATAAGAAGGAGGTAGTTCACCGTGCTTTAAAATCAATAGATTCCTTCTTTCCTAAGTTGCCAAAGTAAATGCACTGCATTTCTAGTATACTAGGATTTTCTTGATACAGAGTAACCAAAACCAAGTTCTGAAGGAAATTGGATACTGGGCTAATATGACTGTAACTGTTAACCATAAACTCCCAATTTAAATTTTTGTTCATGAGAATGTCTTTCTTGTTCTCACTAACTGCGATTTGAATGAGAAAATGTATGTTTGATCCAATAAATATATATTAATAGTTGTTTTCACTGCTTTATATATTGGGATTCTGCATAAAATAACAGTACAATTTTATGCATTAGGATCCTGGAAGTTTTTTTCCTCCACATATTAAATTTCCTATTCCATTTTGACTTCCTTCTTATTTTTCAGGGAAGTTCTGAAAGCTTTCCCTCCTCCCCCACACAAATTAAACAGTGAAACAGGGAGGCTTCCTGCTGAAAAAATATTTACTGACTTTAAATAGCTCACGTCTTTTTTCTGAGGCTCCATCTCAGAGATTGTACTGCACAGATTTTGTTGGCTGGACCACAAGGCTATTGTTGTTATGCCCAATATAAATATTTTAGTTGCTGTTTCATGAATGGTATTTGGAAAGTGATATGTATCCTTATTTTAATCTCTTTTTGCATATGCAGCGACTGAGTTGCCTGTGTGGGACTTCGTCAGAAGCAGGGTTAAATATGGCCTGTGACATTAGATGTCTCCTTCTCTCCCAAACCTGTGCGATGGCACTCATGTGAGCTCAGTGAAGGCAACCACTGGCAAGAGACTTAAGAAATAGTGAGGGGAAGGAGACAGCAAAAGAATCAAATACAGATTACTGAGTGCCTAATATGTGTGCCTATTTATGAATAAGCATTGGAACTGTTGTTCAAAACAAGTCATGTGTCCATTCTGTTCTGTTCCTAGGTGATCATGGAGGAAGCACTTTACTCCCACCAAATGTCACAAATGAATTTCCAGAATATGGGACCATGGAGGAAAGTGGAGAAGGCCTAAGAACTTCTCTTGAGTTTGATGCAGAGTCTCTGCCGTGCGGCCCACAGGGGCAGGAGGGGGTCCGGCTTCTCGCTAGCCCCCACTCTGGGCTCAACAGTGTTACAGAAGGACCAAAAGATGTTGGCAAGGCCTCCTCTCACAGTCACCTCAAGGAACAAAGTTTACAACCCATAGACTCTTTGATTTCAGCTCTGAAAGCTACAGAAGCCAGAATAGCTTCAGGAACATTACAGGCTACAACGGTACTGGACAAAGATGCTGTTTCTAGTTTTTCAGTTCAGCGGGTGGAAAAAGAGCTGGACGCTGCCAGTCATCACACACAGAGGGCCAGCAAACTGTTCCCTGCTGGCCACGAACAACCGCCATATATACCTCTTCCAGCTGAAGTTACGACGGAGGACAGTTTTCATTTGAGCATCCAGAAGGATCTGACAGTGCTATTAACTGGAGAGAATCAAGCAGAGCCCTCCCACATAACAGATCCTGGGAGGAAAGGGGCTTACCGTGTGGAGGAGCCAGCTTGTCCAGCGGTCTCTGCGGGGAGCCCAGCAGTGCCCCACAACTCTGTGGGCCATGCGGGTGTTTTGAGAGAGTGGAGGTCTGATCTGGGGAGAGAGCACCCATGGGGATGTGATCGAGGCAGCTCCACAGGCCGCCCAGGCCGGGTCAAACACGTGGAATTTGAAGGGGTAGAAGTACTGTGGACAGGAGGGGAGAAAAGAGAGGTACGGCAGCCTGTGGAGTTGGAGACAAAATCTACCTCTCCTGAAAGCAAGGGGTTTTCCAAAGTGCCAAGCCATGTCATCCCGTCTTCTGGTTTGTGTAATTCAGCTGGTTTCCCGTCAGGGAGGCCTGACCTGAGCTCGGGGACATTTTCCCCTGTGCCTCTGGTTGAGAGTGGAGAGGATGAAGTCTTCCTAAAGGACAGCAAAGAACATCTTGAGAAGAAACCTGACCTGGAGAGAGACAAGGAGAGGTGAGTCCCATAGCCCTGCTCTCTGCGATGCCTGGGACATGTACTAGGAAACTGTCACCTTTGCTTGGCAATGACAGCTTAACGCACAATAATCTGAGTCCTTTTTATCATAGAACGGAAGAGAGGTGACTGAAAGCTAGGTTCCTTCTAAGTTCCTGAGCTCTCCAGGCGATCTTGTTACAAAGTTGTCCCTTAGCCGTAGGCCGGGGAAGCAGAGCGATGGAGAGGCTGTGAACACTAAAACTGTGTGAATCCACTTCCGACATTTTGTTACGTTTCAAGGAAACATACAGGAAACTACAACACCCCACAATTATCTTTAATAATGTGAAAAGATCTGGACCCTTGGCATATTCTGTCATCATTTTATCCTAACTTAGGCATTTTTTCCTGGTACAACCCCAGTGCCTACGTACAGCCCCCACACGTGTAGGAAGACAGGCCCTGGGTTTGGGCTGACTCAGAGTTTTAGGTTGAGAGAGGCGGTCAAGAAGTCAGAAGCAGACTGTGTAATTCAGTTGTCCCATGGCATTCATATGGGAGTCCCTTCTCACAGGAACAGAATGTTTGGGTTATGTCCCTGATAAGTAAACTCAGCATCATCTGGTATTTCCTGGCCTTTCCATGCATTCTGGACATCGCATCCGCACCAGCACGGAGCCTGGATAAGTGGGAGACGTGACCCATCTTTCTTCACTTCGTTTGCTTAGAGTCTGGCCACGGAGTGCTCCTTTTGGCCACCATTTGTCCTGTCATTTCTAATTTGTACCATCTTTTCTTCACTGTCTTCAGGATACCACATTTCATTGTTTTTATGGGAGAATGCCTCTGTCAAGGCTGAAGGACTTTTTTTGTTTGTTGGATTGGTATACGGAAATGCCTCTCCCCATAATTAATGAACAAATCCACAGGGAGTGCTGCTCCTTCAGGCTGGCTGCCAGGGCTCCTCCTCTGCACCCTCCCTCCCTGCCCCCAGCACATAAAGTCTCCACACTTCCCTCCAAAGGGAATGTGTCTGGCACATGGCTCAGTAATTATATTCCCACTGGAATATGTACTTTTGCTATTGCGTACATTATTAATTCATTTCTCCTTTCCTCCCTGCCATCTCCTCTCCTCTTCTTCTTCCACCAGTATCCCTTGATTGTCTTCTGTGTCCTTGACGGTGCTACATGCTGGGCCTAAAGGGATATTTAAAATAGACATGGCGCATGGCCACTGCTTTCATGTAGTTTACTGCTGCAGATAAACACTGACCATAGAAACATGTTAATAATTACAGGATCACAAGCTGTGCTAGGTTCCGTGAAAGAAAAGGAGAGAGACATACTAGAAATAATCACTTGAATGCAGGAGAGGCTAATTCATTTGATGACTTAGGCCAGGCCTTTCTTTGGAAATGATCATTAGTTTGAGACTTGAGGAGGGACAATCTGTTAGCCAGGCGGAGAATGGAGAGCAAGACTATTCCAGGCAGAGGGAACAGCATGTGCAAAGGAGAGCTGCTGGATTGCCTGGAGTTGTGTGAAGCAAAGGCCTTATGCCAAGTTTAAGATCAGACACTCCACCAGGGCAGCAGGACCATAAAGGAGCTGGGGAGAGTGGTGGGAAATCAGTGTGCTGGGAAGAGCTTTATTATAGAAACTTTTCATTCCAACTACAGTGAGAAGCCATTAAGGGGTATAAACCCAGAATTGTGTTTGGCACATGGTAGGCCTTCAGTAATTTAAAAACAAGCAAGACAGCTGTTTTGTTGAAGGTGAATCCTTCCAGTACCTAAGAGGAATGTAGATTCCCTATGAGGTGCTTTTATTCATATTTCTATTTCCTTTCTATCGGAATCTGAGACTCAGAGGAGTTAGGTCAAGTTGCCTGAGTGACATAACTAGTAGTGAGCACATCCGAGTTCAGCGCCAGGTTTTTCTAACTCTTGACCTCTTGTACTTAATGGAGTTTTTAAAGTTTTACTTAGTTATCCTATGTTCATATTTAATATTTGAAGAACATGCTACATATTAATTAAAGCCGACCCCTGTATATTCACTTATAAATTGTTTTAGGGTTTCACTGTGTTCTTAGCCTTGAAATAAACATGTCTGTTGGTTTTTGTTTGTTTATTTTTAAAGTTCCTTTACTGTCTAATTTTGGACCTGAAATCTCCCTGCAGTGCTGCTTTATTGTCAGCAGGGGGCAGCCCTTGGATTCTAATGAAGTCACCTGCTGGAGGGTGTTTGGTCTTACTTAAATCAGAAAGTATTAATAGACTGATGAAAGCTTAGTGTATTTTTACTCCATTAAGTTTACACAATATATTTGTCTGCTTCTGTTAAAATTAAGCATGCCAGTAGCTGTTAATAATTTGAATTTGTGGAGTTTACTTGGCTAAAATAAGAATATTTTATTAAAATATTCATTGGACTAGATATATTCACATACTTGGAAACTAGTTTGAAACTGTGTTCAATTAATCTGAGGGCAGCATAGCACATGTATGCTAAGAGGTTTTTTTCCACCTGAATACATGTCTGTGATCTCTTCCTTCCCAAGTATATTAAGGCATAAACCCAGTGAATACAACAACTGTTAGCTCTACAGAACATTATCTTTTTTTTATGTGGTTGAAGAGAAAAAAATAAAAAGAAAAAAATTAACCTACTGTTGAAATTCTTCACTCTTATTTCCTCTGCAGGCTTCTGGAGCAAGAGGAGCTCCTTACAGGAGGAGAGGATGACGTCCTGGGGCCTGGGTACACGGAAGACTCCACCGATGTGTACAGCTCCCAATTTGAAACCATTTTGGACAACACTTCTCTATACTACAGTGCTGAGTCCTTGGAGACATTATACTCAGAGCCTGATAGCTATTTTAGCTTTGAAATGCCCCTCACTCCAATGATACAGCAGCGCATTAAAGAAGGCAGTCAGTTCCTGGAGAGAACGTCAGTGGGAGGACAGCAGGACATCCTGAGCGTCTCGGCAGATGGCGGAATAGTGATGGGCTATTCTGGTGGGATCGCCAACGGGCTCAGTGATGCTGGGGACTCCATCCACGTGAAAGGCGCCCCAGAAATTGCCTTGTGGGGAAGGTACTAGTCCCATTCTCATTAATTTTGTGCTGGTGGGTTTTGTTGCATTTTCTCTTTGGGAAATCAGAGTGTGGAATATATCTGAAAAACATTTGGTCATTTTCTATGCATATAAGTGAATGTAATTTGGGTTTCAGAGGCAAGTAGAATACACTTTAGTCGTTTGCCAAATTGGCAGGCTGTGGTCACTCTCTCTGGTGGTATTTCCTGGACAACCATCTAGAAGTTGGCCACGTATCTGAACACATATCTGTGAGTGATGAGTAGGCATTAGCTCTGATGGTGCAGCTTCGGTGGCAGTGGCATGGTGCTGTGTAAAGGACCCTGACAGGCCTTGGCTTTTGTGTTGACACTGACATTGGTTGATGACGTGGAGCAGATTGTTTGATTGGGCCAGAGATTCCTTAATCGTAAATCGAGGATAGGGATTAGATGGGCACCAAAGTCTCTTCCGGCCTTTGCCCTGTCGGGTCCTGTGGCCAGGCAGCCTTCCTGGTCCTGCAGTGGCAGGGGAATGACCTGGCTATCTGGGGGCGCAACAGAGCTGATACCTTGGTCAAGACTATGCGCATTTATTCTCTCTCTATTGTAGGATTTGTCTACCTGGGAGGTAAAATGACAAATTCTATAGGTTGTATGCACCATAGCTGTCATTTAGTGATTCCCTATATATGGATTACCCAGCATTCCATTCCCTCCTGCGCATTGCCCTTGGGTCGTTCGCCTGTCCTTTAGTATCTCCACTGGTGGGCAGAGCCTGATAAACTTCCTAAAGATGTTATGAATTTAGTTTGGATGTAGTTTTGCTTAATTAAAGTGTGTTAGTTTGGATGTAGTTTTCCTTATTTAAAGTGTGTGTGGGTGGAGACGGTGGGGAGGCGAAGTGGGGATAAACTGTTGTAAAGCTGTATGAAAAAAATGCTGGTGCTTTTTTTAAAAGTCAGCATTTAAAGTACAGTTTTCCAAGGAACCTCTTTTTATGAGCAATTCATCCTATATTAAACATTTTCTATACCTAGTTTGTTTATAGGTTTACAGTTCATTGGATGAGCACATTCAAGACTGACTGGGACATTATAACATTGTAGGCCGTGTGTTTCCATGTGAAATGGACCATGCTTATTGGCTGTCTTCTAGGGTCTCAGTGAGATAATGAAAAGAACACAGATTTCAAAAGCATAAGACCTTGGTCTGAATTACTTGGATGAACCAATTATATCCTCTGAAACTTGCTTTATATATTTGCAAAATAGAGTTAATGATACCCGGTACACTGTGTGACTGCAGTTTAAAGAGTTAGATTAAAGGACCCAGCAGAATGCCGGTACAAAGTAAGGGCTTGAGTAAATGCGTGAGTCAGAATTGGATGGTTGATAAGCCTGCATTTGGACTTCCTGGCTCTCTGACTGGGAGTGTGTCCCCGAGAAGGAGTTCCTGAGAGCAGGCATCCCAGAGAGGGGGTTGTTCCTGCGCAGGAGCGCATCTCGGAGGCAGGGTCCCTGAGAGGGGACGGCTCTGAGAGGGGCCATCCCTGAGTGGAGGATGCCACTTCAGTCCTCCTTTTTCCATCAGTATCTCCAGTAACTGTAAATTGTGGTAAAATGCTATCGCATAGATAATGCAGAAATTTTCATTAAAATTCCAGTGCAGCTTTCTGGGGAGCTGAGCCTTTTGGGCTGAGAGGCTTTGCTGCAGAAGCCATAGGGAGGGTAAGTCAATAAAGAGGAAATTAAAATCAAGGAGTCAGAACAGGAAAGAACTGGGTGAATGGTTTATCAAATGTATAGTCTGCTCCCTTAGAATAGGAAGTGGTCATCATTGGGGGCAGCTTGAGTGCCAGTCATTAGTAGGGCAGAGTTAGATAGTTAAGAGAGAGTATTGGAGTAGGTTATAGTATTTTAGCACCTCAGATCGAGACAGTGGTATGCTTCAGGCCTTCTTGAGATAAGGTTTCAGCTGCGTCACCTGCATTGTTGAACCATGAGATCTTGCCCAAAGATAAGACTGAATTCTAATACGGGATGAGAAGCATCTTAGAGATGAGCCAGACGAACTTCTCACCCAGCTCTGGGCACTTTTCCCACGTGTATATGTGTCTATTCAGGGTTAAAAAAAAAATAGGGCAGCCCTAGTTGGTGTGGCTCAGTGTGTTGAGTGCTGGCTCGTGAACTTAAAGGTCACAGGTTCGATGCCCAGTCAGAGCACGTGCCTGGGTTGCAGGCCAGGTCCCCAGTTGGGGGTGTGTGAGGGACAACTCATTGTTATATCTCTCTCACAAAGATGTTTCTCTCCCTCTTTTTCTCCCTCCTTCCCCCTCTCTCTAAAAATATAAATAAAATCTTTAAAAAGGGCAGTCTCAGCGATCCTAAAAACTTTTAAAGAAACTGGTATAACTATTAGGCTGTTTTCTTTTTCTTTTTCTTTTTCTTTCTTTTTTTTTTTTTTTTGCCCTTTCTGCCTCTTGGTACTTTGGAGAAGTTACAGCACCAGAGGAGTTGTAGGTTGAAGAATTATGTCATTTTCCCGCTTGAAGAGGGGCCTTACATAGCCTTGCTTTATGGTAAAGAATATGAGTCCCAGTTTGGTGGGCTGGATTTGCATGGTGACAGATTCTGTACCAGAACTCTAATTGCCTGACTTCTATAGCAGGAACAGTCACTATTCTAGGCTGTCTGATCTCCTGTATTTACTCTTTCTTTTAATTTAATTTCTCTCAGCATGTGATGTCTGTAGGGCCTGAAGTCTAAGTTGGTGATTGTAGAATTACTTGGTGGTGGTAGTCATATGTTTTCAATTTGAGAAAAAAATTTACCAAATCTTTAATAATCATGTCTCTATAAATTTTTAAAGGAATCAATGAGCAGGCTTTTAAAAATTTCTTCTGCATTAAAACATTCTCCTGCAGAGGTAAGGGAGCAGGCCCAGATATTGAGCCTGTCAAGGCGATCCAGATGGGAATGCTGACTGCACAGCAGCCGACAACGACTGGCTGGCCGCAGCCGAGCGCTCCGAGCCGAAGTGTCAGGATTCAAGAAAGCAGTCAGTTTCAACTGTATTAATAAGTGTGATATTTGCACAAGAAAAACAGTAAATAAAATGAGTACACGTGCCTAGCATTCCATATCTATTCACTAACCTCTCCTGTTTTCTTGGAAGTGGACTGGCCAGGGGGTGGCCAGGAGGGGTCCTGACTGTGTTGGATAAAGTGAGCTCTGAGGAAGACAAGCAGCAAAGGGGCTGATGTCTCTCTCCCTATAATGCTTCTGTGATTCTAACTAGACGTGAACCAAGAGAATTAAGTCCAGCCCTGTTGAGGCATTGATTTTAATGTTAGTTGACAGCCAGTAGAAAATATGATAAGACTACTTTAGGTAGTCTCTAAACATAGTTTTATATCCTATGCACCCAGTAGGTTTTATTATTTAGTAAATACATTGTGCTTAATTCTCATAATAAGCTGGGAGAAAAGAACTATTAACATTTTCACTTTCCAGAAGGAAACTGAGGCACCGAGCAGTTGAGTAATGTGCTCAAAGTCAGTCAGATAGTAAGTGACATACGCAGAATTTGAACCCAGGCAGTCAGGCTTCAAATATAATGTTGGTTTCAAAACAAAAATATATTTGTTTGGCATTGCCTATATATATGTTTTTAATCCTTTTCTGTTTCAGTATGTGCCTTTAGTTAGTTGTTGAAAGTTATTTCAGTGGCAATATTTGACTGATTTCTTCTGAGCTCAGGATGACACTGTTCTCCATCGCTGCTCCTTTAAAGGAAGGTAGGGGTGGTTGGGGAAGGTGACGAGGCTGTTGTAGCACTTGAGCGAATCTAACTCCCCGTCTCAGGAACGCCATCCAGTCCTGGAGTTAGCCATGCTTTGCAGGCTAGAGGGGGATTGTTCTTCCATGTTACTGTCTCCACTGAAGTCAAAGAAGGAAATAATTTCAAATCTGTTGTAGTCTCATATCAGGTTAGAAAGGACATTTTTAAAGAGTATGTGTGTTCACTGTTAGTCTTTTAAAGGATTATATACCTTACCTTGGTGATACCAAATGGATTGCTCTTTGTAAGTTGAAAACGTCTTTTAACAGACTGACAGTGGCCAGAAGGGAGAGGGGAGGGGGATAATGATGGAAAGAAGGGGAGGGGTCAGAGAACATGTACAAATGACCCGTGGACATGGGCAACACTGTGGGGATTGACTGTGGGAGCCGGGGGTGGGCTGGGCGGAGGAGGGCAAAGGGGGAAAAACTGGGAAACCTGTAATAGAATTAACAATTAAAAAATCCTTTAAAAAAGTCTTTTAAGATCCTGGAGTAAATCTAGACAGGAAGAGTTAAGTTCTCTCAGGTGCCCTGAGTGCTCTGAGCAGTGTTAACCAGGGAACCGCATGTCCATCAGGCAATAGCTTGCCCTGTGAATGTAATACAATATTTTAATGAAGGAGCAAAGGGTAGCATCCCCTCCCTTTGTGGTCCAGCTCCAGAGCACTCAGGCTAGTGGGTCAGCGGTGCTGTGTGAAGTCCAGTCACATGGCTCCAAAATTAGAAAGGATAATTAGAGACTTACAGTAATACATGTTCCAATGGGTTCCTTTGTGTCTGGGTGCTTCTCCCTCGCCGGCCCATCAGCTGATGACTGCAACTCCAATCAGTAAGTTCTGACCTGGAGATTGTAAGGCACAAATGTTGGCATTGTGACCATGAACAGAGCTTAATATTGTCCATTTCTATTGAGCTCAGGTTTGGACAGTTAAGAGAAGAGAGACTGCAAATACAGTAATATGTCAGGAGCTTCTCTTTTGATTCTCTGAAATGTATCAAAATATATCAAAGTCGTTTTTAAAAGTACCTTTTTAGTATAGTAGGTATATTTTGTGTCTCAGCTTCCTAGTTTTTCTTTCAGCTGTGGCTCAGGATACGGAGCACTCAGGATTCCGAGTACAGCAGAGAGGGGGTGAATTATATCTCTGTGCAGCTGATAAGCCTGAGAGGAGAGCTTCAGTCGGACTTGGGTCCGCTCGGAATTTGATAGTTGTGGTTTTGTGCCTTCTTCTGGCCCTTCCCCCCTTCTCAGATGGAATGCTGGCATTTAGAATATCTTCTTTCTTCATCAGCTAGCTTCTCTCTTTCGTGTCTTTCTCTCTAGGAAAGAAGTCACATGAAACAAGATTAATACAGAAATTTGTTGACATGTGATTTCAACATTTTTTTGACATCCCAATTTAAAACCTGAAGGCATTTTAATAGACTGTGTAAATATTAATATAATGTGATATTAGTTAAGCTGGAGGCAGAAGGAGAGCAGATGGACCATAGAGCTCACGGCTCTTTGGTCCTTAGGAGCAGGAAGCTCTCTGCCCTGTAGGTTCATTATTGGGCTGCTGTGGCTCTCCTAATTTCTTCAGTCTTTTTCTTTTACATTTTAAAAACCTGTTCTGTTGAAAATAGAGTCTCATGTTTCCCTTCCTACCTTCCTGAAGGAGTTGTAATGATGATTTTTTTTTTTTTTTTTTTGCCACAAAGGAATTCTTGCTCAGTGATGAGGGCTAGGGGCTCTACTTAGGTTTCAGATCCAGACATACCTGGGTTTGCACCTGGCCACAGTTACTTACTAGGTATATGATCTTGAGTAAATTACAATTTGGGGACCTTTCCCAGGATAAATCAGAATGAGTAATACCCAACTGTTATGGGAGGGAGACTCAGATGAGATAATAATCAAGTGGAAAAAATCAAGAAAAGAAGATCAAGTGGCTTAACAGGCCTGGTACACAGTAGGAGAGAAATAAATGAAAATTAATAATAAGACTAATAGCAGTAGTACCTGACAGCTGCCGTCATGCCACTGTGCCATGGATTCAGGAACTACCCCAGCCTCTGAGCCCAGAGCCGTCCCCCAAGCTCTAAGCTTATCTGAAACACCAATTACTGGATTTCCTGAAATATCACTTCTTTTTGTAAGGGTACAGTGCACCGTGGTATGGTGGCAAAAATAAGGGGTTTTGGTACTGGACAACAGAAAGTCAAGTCATCCTCTTTATTGGCTGCCTCATTTGGGGTAGGTTGTTTTACTTCAAGGAACCTCTTATTCCTCACTGGTAAAACAGAGATAACGTACCACTCAATTGACAGGGTTTTGTTTTTAAAGATTTTATTTATTTATTTTTAGATAGAGGGAAAGGGAGGGCAAAAGAGAGAGGAAAAAAATCGATGTACAAGAGAAACATCTATCAGTTGCCTCTTGCACACCCCCAACTGGAGACCTGGCCCACTACCCAGGTGTGTGCCCTGACTGGGAATCGAACTGGTGACCTTTTGGTTCCCAGACTGGCATTCAGTACACTGAGCCACATCAGCCAAGGCTCAACTTACAGTTTTGTTGTAAGAATTTGCTAAGTTTTATCTTGTGGATATTCATTTTAAACCTATCATGAGTTTTGCAACAGTTTGAATAACAGGAATATAAGAAAACAGATAAGAAAAAGCCTGGTAGCGATGAAAAACCGTAAGGATTCGGTGGATGTTTGAATATAGGGCATGTGGGCTGAGTCAAAACGATTGAGAGATTTCAAGCGTGGATGACAAGAAATCAAGCAAAGATCAGCAGGAGCTGGGGAGAGCGGCAGGGTTCGTCGGAGAGCACCCACTGGTGGGGGCAGTTGAAGCAGTTAAGCTTGAGGAGAGGGAGGGTCCTTCATGTGCAAACGCTAGTGGGAGTGTGGGATTGAAGGTCAGCTGGAGAGACTTGAAGTCCTTGTTTAGAGGTGAGGCTTGCCGCTGTGGGTGTGAGCGACCTCCTGGAGGCTTAGGAGAGGCTGAGGCCTGAGGGGTGCACCTGCAGGAAGGCTTGAGTGGTGTTTGCGTATCTTTCTGATTCCATCCTTGTAGAAAATGTGCTCTCTAAGGTGAATTTCCTGGTAGCTCTTCTGCGCTTGCCTTCCTTCTCTCACGTGGGCTTGGCTTTCAGGGAGCGTGGCGTGGAAGTTGTGTCTTCTGGTCATTGCTGTCCTTTGGGTTCCTTTCAGGCGGGCCTGGCCCTGGCTCTGGTGCTTTTGGGCTCTCCCTGTTTGTTGGGTGCCTCCTATAAATTGAGGATGACTTCATGAAGTGGCCCCTGGATCGGAAATAGGGTCTAATTTTGTAGTTTAAACTTAAAGCAAACATGTCAGTGCCCTAGATATTGGGGGGTGGGAGGATACCGGTGTGAAGGGTGCTGTGGACTGCTGGTTAAGTGGACGGTCTTGTATTGCAGAATGTACTGAAAGACTTCAAATGATTAAGGGCTTTGGCGCTGTTGTTACAAAGAGAACCATAGCTCTAAATAAAATCTGGAGTTGTAGTTCATATTTTAACTGGTCAGGATGGTACAGCAGTCTTTTTATGCATATGTCAGTGCAATATTTTGCTTTTAAAGGAAGCAATAACATTTTCTCTCAGCAGAGGTTACTTAACACAAGATTTGCAATACTGGATGGGAAAGTTCTCCGCTGATCCATGGTTTGCAGCTCTGACCACTGTGGCTCACTGGGCTGGGCGTCGTCCTGCAAAGCAAAAGGTGGCCGGTTCAGTTCCTGGTCTTAAGTCACACTGCTTTGGTGCAACGTTTAGTGAATTATCTCTCTAAACCTGAATGTCTTTATCTGGGAAACGGGACAATAATTTACACCATTTGATGATCACTCAATAAATGTTGGCTGTTAATATCAGTAATAGCGCTGCTTGAACTATTCAAAACTTTTTCAAAGTCAGCTAGTATGAATGGATTGTGTTCAGATTAATTTAGGATGTTGTATATCTGCAATAATAATCCTAAGAGCCTTAGGTTACTTGGAGGTGAGGAGATTTAATGATAATTTATTTTATTGTGTTTATAATTACTCTATTTAGCAGCTCCTTAACATGAGGAAGCTGACATTTTCTAGTCAAGAGTAGTAATATAAAGTCTTTAGTATAGAGAAAATAAGAGGTATTGAGTAATTATTATTGTGAAACAAAATCATAAAAGTTCATTATTCACACTCAGTATTCATGTAACCACTATTTTTGGACCCATCATATAATATTATACATAGTCAGGTAGGGGCCTGTCCCATTAGGCAGTGAACTTCTCAAGTCTTTAGTCTTGAGACTCACAGAACTTAGGACAGCACATACTGGGCACTGTTTTTATTGAATGGGGAACTTAATTAGCAGCTGTGTTATATGAAGTAGTAGGTGTCTCCCAGAGAGGAGGCAGATGACTTCCCATACAACTCTGGTGCCGGAGGGCCCAGAGAGCCAGGCAGCAAGGCTCCCTGCCTGGGGCTCCTTAGCTTGCAGCCCCGTGGAGGCCCTGGCCGAAGGCTCCCTTTTCGCAGTGGGCTTTGAAGGACGAGATGGGCATGTGTAAATGGCTGTGGGCTGGGGTGGGGCAGGTGGCTTACCAGATGGAACCAAGCTGAGGCAGAAATGTTAACAGCTGCTTGGATTTGGGGCCTCGAGAGTTGGGAGTTGAGGGGATTACTAAACTCTGGTTCTGTTCTATTCATCTGCTGGACTGAACGCAGGCAGCTAGCCTCAGAAAGGTAGCCATTATGCAGTTGACATTTTACAACTCCTGAAACATGTTAGATGTTCCAAAAGTGTAGAGAATAACCAAGACCTGTGCTCTCACCAACCAGCATCAGAAATGAAACATTATGGGTGAATTGCAAATTCCTGCGGATGCCTCCCTGGTCCCGCTCCCTTCTTTCTTTTCCTGAATGTAGCTGTTACCTGTGGGTGTTTACTGTTTCTAGAGAAGTGTGCATCCATAAACAATACATAGCATCCTTTCACATATTTTTGAACCTCATGTAAATGCTATCTTCTTGTTTCCTTTTGTAACTTGCTTGTTTTTGCTCAACATTTTAAACCCATTCTTATTGATTCATAAAGCCCAAATTTATTAATTTATTTGCTGTATAGAATTCATTATATGAACATATACTCTAACTTTCCTGTTTATGAACATTTTGGCTGCCTTGTATTTTTGTTAATCTCAAAGGGCTTGGCAGTGGATATTCTAATTCGTGGCCTCTCATGCCACGAATCAGAATGGGGGAATTTCTCTAGGCTAGGTATATATTTAGAAATAAATTGCTGGACTGTAAGTTATAATTATTTTCTGGGTGAACGAGGGCATTGTTGAAAGGGCATATTACATTTTCTTTGAGAGTATGTAATTTTATCTACTTCTGTCTATAAAATAATTTTGAGTTATTTTATCTCCTGATCCTCATAATTCCCCTATCCCAACAAAAATAGCAGGATCCCAAAGAAAAAGCCTGGGAAAGAAAACGAAGTGAAACCAGCCTCCTTTCCCTTTAGGTGCACTGGTGCAGATTCTGTTATCCATTAGTTAGGTCTGATGGCTGCCCTGCCGATCTGGTGGCCAACTCCAGGAGCTCAGAGATTCTCCGCCTTGCCTGTGGCAGCTGCTGCCTGTGTCTGACAGCTGTGAGTTTTGTCTGTCCACTTCTGGTTGTCTGAAACAGTATTTGAACAACAGGACACAGGAATATTTTCACATCAACCATAGCAGAAAAACAGGCACAAAACTAGAAATGGAAGTTGAAGAACAAATCACATACGAATACGTGTGAATTTAACACAGCTGAGTTTTCTAGAATTTAATTGAATTAGATCCATATTGTTGCCTATTTCAGTCATTCCTTTAGGTCCAGGAATGAGTGTGCTATAGGAAATTATAGTCTTTAAAAACAGTACTTCAGAAACTTTAGTGCTATAAGAGAAAAACAATGCTGAATTTACTTTCTTTTTAACGGTGTTGGACAAACTTCACTTTCTCCCGTAAGCCGCAACTGCTCTAAATAAACTAAGGCAGTATTCTTCCTCCCTGTTGTCAGCTTGCTGCCTGGCTCCCAAAGGGTTAAGCCGGAGGTTTGTGAGGTCATGTGTGACTTCACGGGATCTGGACTTTTAAA